GGGGAGGCCGGGGGAGGCCGGGAGGCAAGGGGAGGCCGGGAGGCCGGGCCGTAGGCCGCAGCCGGGAAGCCCAGAACCCATCCCACTCTGTCTCCTTCCTGGACCCGAGGCCTGGCCCGTCCGATAAGGGAAAGGGGGGCCGGCCACTCCGCGGCCAGAGGGCAGCGGCTGCAGGGTGAGCAAGGTGGGCGCCGTGCCCGTCTTGGCCTCGCCCCACAGCGCCCCTGGAGTTGGGCTGTTGTTCACGTGGCAAGTGAAGAAAGGGGGGGAGCCCTGGCCAGGTGATTTGAGCCCAGGTGTGTGTGGCTTGCCGCCCGTGCAGCTCAGCAAGGCCGCTGTCCAGCCCGGGGCGTGGGGAGAAGCGGACGTGGTCCCAGGGCCCCAGGGTCCCAGAGTTGGGTCCAGGCGGCCCGCCCGCGCGCCCTTGTTAGGAGACCAGCAGAGGGCGCCCTGGAGCTGTGATGGTTGCAAGGGGCAGCTTGGCCCTGGACGCCGCCGGAGAGCTTGGCCTCTGGATGGCCTGGTGGGGCTCGCAGCCCGCGCAGGGAACAGTGCCAACTGCCCAGGGGCCTGGGCACCCTGAGCGCAGGATACACTGGCACGGCTCTGAAGGCTGAGATGTGGTTGGTACCCGGCCAGCGAGGCAGACTCGTGGGTCTGCACCCCCAACCCACTTTGCAGCCCCTCCCGTCCCCCTCCGCACACCGCCTGCCTGTCCAAGCCTGGTTTCTTGACCCTTGGGAGGGTGTGAGGAGGAGCGGCGGCGGTGGAAGGCACAGCTGAGCCCAGAGCTGTGGGGAGCTGCTGGCGGGGCTCAGTGGCAGCTCCTCACTGCCCAGCCAGCTCCCCCAGACCCTGGCTCACCGCTGCCACTTCCCCCACGCTCGCTGGTCTCGCCTCCACCCCGCGAGACAGGCCTCTCCGACTCCTTCACGGCCAGCGGGACACTCTGAGCCAAGCAGGCACCTGCCTGGGCTTGAAAAGGCCTAGCGGCTTCCTGAGACTTGAACTCGGGTCCCCTGGAGGAAGGCCCCTCACCCTTAGATTTTAAGCTTCCAGGAGGCTGCAGCGGGCAGCCTGGGGGAAAACCAGGCCTCGCAACTGGTTTTTAACCCTTTATCCGTCCAGGGGCGGGTGTTCCAGGGCTGGCTTGCTCTGTGTCCAGCGTGGGTGATGGCCACCCACCCGAGGGCCTCCCAAAACTCACGGGGTGTTGAGTGCTCCCTTCTGGGGACCTGGCCCCCTGGAATCCCAGCCAAGCCTAACACCTCAGGAACAGGCTAATGGCCTGAGGCTGGCACGTCACCATCCTGGGGCCCGCACAAACGAGCGCCTTGTCTGGGGCAGCGAGGGTCTGTACCTGTTTGTAACGGCCAGTGCCTTTATCGCCAGAGCCCTTGGGAGCCCTTGAGCACTGCCCAGCCCCTCCCTCCCCCCCGCTCCTGCTGGCCTGCCTTCCCCTCCCCTCTCCTCCCCCACTTCCCCACCCAGGAGTGGGGTGCTCCTCCAGGAGGGGCGTGGGGATGTTGCCCTCGCGGCTGTGACAGGGCCCAGGGGCGTGGCTTCTCCCCATGGCACCTTACTTAGACTCTTACCCAGGAGGGCCTGGGGGCCTGACCAGTGGCCCCTTCACTGTCCAGGTGACAGCAGGGGACAGCTACTTTCAAGGCTGCTCACGGGCGTGGCGGCAGGCAGGGGCCCTCGGCTGGCCTGGTGCCGGCCTGCTGCTGATTGGCTGGCGCCCACAGCCCTTCAGCTAGACGCTGCTGCCCGTGGGGGTTTGTCTGTGTTCAGGCTTTTTACTTTTTTGACCTCAAGCGCTTGTGGTCCTGTTCTGGCCACTCGGGACTCCAGGCAGGTCCGTGGTGGGGCTGGGCCAGGCCCAGGGCACACTCCCGGCCCCGGAGGGCGGGCGGGGCAGTCGCGGCAGGGGCCAGGAGCCACGGGTGCAGAGGCCCGCTGCCTGCTGCCAGAGAGACTCCCGACTTGGGCCTCCTGCTGGCCTCGGGGTCAGTCTCTCCGCGGTGGTGCTGCGGCCTGAGTCCAGTCCGGCCAGGGAGTGAGCCCCAAGGCACAGCGGGGCCCCGTCTCCCCGCTGCTCCCTCAGCAGTGGATTTCAGTAGAGCCCCTGCTCTGCCCCCCGCTCGGTCTCCTCTTCCTCCCGCACCTCTGGCCTGTACCCCAGATCTTTTACACAGACACAAACGCACACACAAGAAAGAAAAAAAAGAAGCAGGCCCCCTGGTTTCTGAGGCCGCGGTAGCCGGGAGCCCTGGCTCTGGGAGGGAGCCGGGCCGGGCCCCGCCTGGCTGCATCGCGGTGCGGCTAACTGTGGACGTCCTCCCTGGGCGGCCGCTGCCCGGCTGCCGGCCGGCTGTTGTGGTCACGCGTCACGGGTAGCGGCAGAGACCCCAGAGGGAGGGCCTGCCCGGTGCTGGCGAGGCTCCTCGCTCTCCACTGACCACGTCCCTTCGGACGGCTGCCTTTGTGTTTCGTTCAGGGCTTTTATGTGAGCCCACGGAAGAACTGGGCAGGAGCAGGGTCCCCCAGGACCCCCAAAACTTCCTACTCTAAATATGCTCTTCCATCCACCACACCAGGACAAAGCATGTGCCAGGCGTGCCGCCGTTGATGGAGAGGAGCTTTGATACAGTTGGTGTGCACTGAGAAAGCGAAGGGAGGACGCTGTCTCAGTACAGCACCGAGACGGCCTTCTCGTGGGCAGTGCCCAGCCAGGCAGGGCTGGCCCAAAGCCGGGCCTCCGAGGCCCGCAAGCTGCCACACTCTAAGGCGCCTTCTGGTGGGACCCAGAGGAGAGGGCAGAGGGGACCAGGCGAGCCTAGGAGGACAGGAGCAAACTCACTCCCGGGGACAGGCTGCACGGCCAGCCCCCACAGGCCTCCCGCCCGCCCGCCCTCCGCCTCCTTCCTTCCATGTCTCTGGTCCAAGCCCGAGGCCGAGAAGCCAGTGCGCTTCTCTGCGCCCCCTCCAGGCTCCTCCAGGCCCCCAGCCTGCTTCCTCTCCAGCCTCCTCGCCCGCTTCTCCCTGCTCAGCTCCACTCCCGTGGGTGGGGCAGGGAACCTGGAGCCCCCTTTTCCTGGGGACCCCCTTGCTACATGTTCCTGCCTTAAAGGAGGTGGAAATCACTCTGCAGGGCTCGTGACCTGAAGGGGAGAGGCCCCCTCCTGCAGAACTAGTCAGCATAGATTTGGGGGGGGGCCAGGGACTCTCCAGGGCAGAGGCAGGATTGTGGTTGGGGATATGCCTGTGTAGCAGAAGACCCCAACTCTTAGAGGGCGGGGGCCAGGCCACTGAGTGCCCTCGCTGCAGGCCCCCGGGGCGGTGACGGGACCCAGCCGCTCCTCCACGGGGGCTTGAGGGGCCCGAGACCCAGGAGTTGGGGCCTCACAGGCTGCGGCCCAGAGAATCGGCTCCTCCCTCGTGGTTTCTCGGGCCGGGTGGCCGCCCTCACGGTGGTGGCCGGGAGCCCCAGGGCCGGCCCGGAGCCGGAGTTCGCAGCTGGGTTCGCAGCCGGCAGACCCTTCCTGCCGGCTCGCTCTGCTCACCCCCGACACGCCGGTCTCTTCCAGCTCCCTCTGCTCCCTGGGGCCCCACGCGGAAGGGGTCAGAGACGCGTGGAGACCTCAGCCCTGGGCTCATTTGGGGGCGCAGGCCTTGAGCTCTGGCCGTGCTGCCGTTCTAGAGCGGGGCTGTCTGCAGGCTTGCACCCTCCCCGGGCTGGGGACCCCGAGCCTCGGCCCAGTGGGGGGTTGTCGGCCTCCAGGGGGCCATGAGGCAGGCAGGCAGCGGCGCCGGGGGCCCGCGGCCACTCACGCTGTCTCTCTGTTGTGTGTGCGTGTGTCCCGCGGCCATCCCTGCTCAGGCCTTAAAATGTGTGTCAGCAGCAGCGGTAGCCACGACGAGGCCCCCGTCCTGAGCGACAAGCACCTGGACGTGCCCGACATCATCATCACCCCCCCGACGCCCACGGGCGTGGTGCTGCAGCGGGAATCCCGGCGGACAGGTGAGGCCGCTCGCGCGCCGGCTCGCAATTCCGGTCCTGCTCGCCGCCCACTCAGGACGGGCGCTGCCGCCTGCACCACCCTGGGCCCTCGCGGCACCCGCGGCCAGACGCGGCTGGACAGCCCTGGCCAGCGGGGCAGATGGAATCGCCTTCCCTGCCAGCCAGGGCTCGGGTCCCCATCTGCGGGCCGCAGCGACTGAGCTGCGTGGAGCAGCTAGAAACAGCCTGTGCTGGGCAGGGCTGACCTCTGGGCCCACTGGCCGCCCCTGCAGAGAGGAGAGTGGTGGAGCCGGAGGCCCGGGCCGGCACCCACCTGCGCGGCAGGCACGCAGCGGCCCTGTTCACGCAGCCGGGGCAGGGGCTGGGCCTGTGGGCACCGAGGGCCACATCACTGGCCCCTGCCACGGGCACCACAGTCCCTCTCGTGGAGGCTGTCAGAGCCAGGCTTCCCCTCAGTCCTGTGTTAGAGATGGGGAAACTGAGGCTCAGCCCAGAGACTTGCTGTACACCGGCAAGCGGCAGGCCGCGTGGTCTGAGCTGGCCGCAGGCCCCCCTTGGCTCGAGTCCTTCCGTCCATCAGCCGTGCCCGAGTCTGCCTGGCTCGCGCTGGGGGCACGGGCCGACAGGCCGGTGCGGGGACGTCCGCAGGGGGAGACTTTCCCAGAAGTGCTGACCCGGATCTCAGCTTCAGAGCGAGGGACCTGGAGGAGGGCATTGAGGCCCCGGCCGGCTGTGCTGGCTGGTGACGATGGGGTCCCCTTGCTGTGCCGGCCGCCCGTGAAGCCCTCAGGCCACATCAGCTCTCTCCACCCTAGGCCCATGCAGGGCCACGTCACTAGCTCACAGGGGGGGAGACAGGTTCGGGAGGGTCAGCGACTCCCCCGCGCGAGGGAGATCTGGGCTCCTGACCAGTGTCCGATCGGAGAGGCCAGGGAGAGCCCCCGCACCCGCCGAAGAAGGGGGTCCTCCCGCCGCCCCTGCTCCCAGGGCTGGGTGCGTACCTGCGGGTTCCTGGCTCTCCCCCGGGCGTGTGTGTGAGGCCCAGGGCGATTGCAAAACCGGGAAAGACTCTCACCTGTCAGCAGCTCGGGCCGCCCGTGCCCGCGAGCACCCTGGAGGCAGGGCCCGCGTCCCGGAGGCTCCCTTCTGGAGAGAGGCCCAAGTCTCAGGGTTGAGCCCCAGGACAGGCCCCTGTCTGCTGCTGGGGGCCTGTGACGTCAGGGAGAGGGCCGCCCTCCCCCGTGTCAGTCTGCCCACGCGCCCCAGGTAGGCGACGGCAGTGCTCCAGAGCAGGTGTGGCGACTCCCGGCCGGACGCAGCCTGGGTGCGGGCCCTGCGTGACCAGCAGGAGGGCGACCGCTTCTCATGACCAGCAGGAGGAATCACCTTCCCGCGGCTGGGCTCCCGGGACGACTGCCGGCCGGGGCGTCCCTGAGCCGGGTGGGTGGGGCAGAGCCCGGCCCTGGCACCTCCTGGCTGACCCCCTTTCTCTGGGCCTCGCCGCCTGTCTCTGTGATTGGGCAGTGGAGGTGTTCAAGAGACCAGGGCAGGGATGGGGCCCAGGAAGTACGATCCCAGCCATCGAACACAGACTCGGGGTGCTGGGGAGTCCCCGTAACACTCAGCATCGTTGGGGCCCCTCTCAGCACCCACTGCCCGTGCTTGGGGTGCCTTGGGGGCAGTGGCCGAAAGCCGAGCGCCCAGGGGGTTTGCCCTGGAGCTCTGGAGAAGGGCGTGGCTGGGGGCGGCTCACCGGTGTTGACTCTTCTTCCCCTTCCCCTAGTCTGGCCGGAGGAGACAGGGTCGCGCCCCGAGGATGGAGAAATGGACCCTGAAGCCTGAGGAGGAAGCAGAGACGAGGATTTGTTGGCTCGGATGCCCGCTCAGCTGCCCCCAGCGAGTCACGGGTGCGGCATGCAGGGGGTTGCTACAGGGAAACGGGGTGTGTCGAGATGAGCCGGGAACCAGCACTGCCCGCTTCCGGGACTTCCTTTCCCGGACCCCCGAGTGGCCCAGAGCAGTGGGGCTGGCCGTCAGTCGGGGTGCCAGGCCGAGGCCTTCCTCTGGGCATACTCCCAGCACCCGGGCGGTGAGGACAGGAGCCCAGGGCCGGCGCGCACGAGGACTTCTTGCCAAGGAGCGGCTTCGATTTTTACACGGTGAAACCGTCCAAATGGGATGCGTCATTTCCTTTTTGCATTATAAATAAAGACCCTGTCACACGGTGAGCCCCGCTGTTGGGCTGGGTGGAGGAGAGGTGCTGTGCTTGGGGCAGTTGGGGGCTAGATCGTGGCCACCAGGAGACGGCCGCAGGACCCAGGAGACCACTCCAGGACCCAGGAGACGGTCCAGGACCCAGGAGACCGCCACAGGGCGCAGGAGACGGCCGCAGGACAAAGGATACCACCCCAGGACCCAGGAGACGGCC